TATAGAAATAACGTAGTAAAAGAAAGGGACAAGCTCCATATTTCTATTATTTTCCTCCACAAGAATTCCAGAAGAAAATCTCGCTAGTGACGAAGAAGTAAAATTTTCTCAAACTGTTTCGTATCATATGATCACGAGCACTTGAAAAAAATTCGTAATTATGTTTCCAAGGATCTAATGCCATTTTTGAAGCAAAAATATTATCCTACCATTAATTGACTAAATTCTCATACTCATATAAGTTGAAATTCATCTAAGAGCCAAAAATAACAAGTGTAATTATTATAACTAATAACAAACGACTATTCTTCCGTCCTTTTAAATGCATTTTTCTCGCTAAAATGAAAAACTCAATTAGAATTGGAATTTTTCTTCATGCAAATAAAATCGTCTCAAACTGTTTCACATCATTTGATAACGAACACATGAAACCATTTAGTAATTATGTTTCCAAGGATCTAATACCATTCTTGAAGCAAAAATATTCTCCTCCAATTAATTGACTAAATTCCCATACTCATTGAAGTTGAAATTCATGTGAGAACAAAAATAACAACTGTAATTATTATAACTAATAACGAACGATTGTTCTTCGTTCATTTAATCGCATTTTTCTCGCTAAAATCAAAGAGTCAATTGGAATTGGCCGGCACTTCTTCATCCAGACCTTAAAAAAAAAGTGGTGCTGCGATTGGAATTGAGAGCCCCTGGGAGCCTAGCAAGCACCGCCAGAGAGTAGCCTGATTGCCGAACAATGCGTCCTAACGAGATGGGGGTCGAAGACTGTCCTTTTATTGATTTCAACCGGTACACCGAGGGATATAGGCGCGAGAGTCACTAGACGGCTTCGCTAGCGGCCATTCAAAGCCTTTTCCAATAATCACACCTATTTCTCATTAAAAATACTCGCAAAATGAATATCCGGGGGGAGGGGAAGCATGCTCTCCTCAATTGTCCCACGCCGAAATGAAGAATCCCCGAATTTTGGGATCGAAAAATATTCGCAATTCGAAAATTAATCAATCTCTGGAATTAAAATGTTGAGCTGAAGGTATCGACACCGGTCATTCGCCGCGCAGTTTCATATCTATAGTACTTTTTTAATAATGGATGGTGCATGTCTAACCTCTTGCGCCTCAAACAAATCCAGGGGAAGTTGTCTGTCGTCTAGTCGAGAATGTCCAACACAGATAATCGAATTTTAGGGAACTCCCTCACTGTCACTGGAGAATTGAGCGCGCGGGGGTGGAAATAGAACCGATGAATGATTTTCGGGGAGATTATTTTTCACTGAGAGCACCGGATTACCTATTTACGAGGCAAAACTGAGGAGAACCGGGCATTCGGTGGATAAAGACGGTGGAGGAGTCACAACAACTGGGGATGATGATCGAGGCGATCTCTGGCGGGGTCTACACGATTGTTGCGTCAGTAGAGCTCTTGCGGCTGTTTATCGACTGGCGTTTCTCAAGGTAATTCACGCGGAGAGATGGTGGGGCAATGTGGACACTTTTGAATTTTTATGTTGGTGATTTATTGAAATGTTGATGAAAGGGGATTTTTTAATTCTCGTAATGGACAGTTCTTGCTTTTTTTATGAGTCGAGAGTGAGCTCAATTGATGAATTTATTGTTGAATTATGAATATTTTGAAGAGTCAAAAATGTAAATTTTGTTATATAGTTCTCTGTGTTTTGAGAAATAGGAGAATGGACAATTTTGAATTTTGAAATGTTAATAATTCATTGAAATATTGATAAAAGGGGATTTTTTACTTCTCGTAATGGATAACTCTTTCTTTTTTTTATGAGGCGAGAATGAGCTCAATCGATGAATTTATTGTTGAATTATGAATATTTTGAAGAGTTAAAAATGTAAATTTTGTTAGACACTCTTCGTATTTTGAGAAAGAGGGGGAAGATTTGATAAAATGGATACTTTTCACTTTTTTTCCAATGTTCATATCTGAGAATTATTATGTCAATCAAGAGCTTTTACTTTCCGTCGAAAAAATTATCCTCTTTCATTAACAATTCACTCGATGATTAATACTTCAAAAAATTCAAAAGTGTGAATTTTACCCTACCCTTCCCTATAAATTTAGAGAGGTGCCATAAAAATTCATACATTGTTTCATTCTCGTTATGGACATTCTGTGTGAATTCCAGAGTATTGCCATCATTTATTTTATTCAACAAAATACCTGCGAACTTGTTTTCAGAAATTGTAATCCCTAGATGCTAATTACACGATATACATATCAAATTCTGCTAAACTATGATGTACCATCCCAATTCCACATTGTGCAACCTGAAAATTCCACATTATACAATTCAATCTTGTAAATGTTTAATTTATTTCGCGCAATGCGACATGTATAATTCAAGGATGTGAAATCCAAGAAAAACACAGAATCCGTGAAACTCAGGCCCTGATTGGTGTATTATTTTTCTTGAATTTCACATGCTCAAATAATACCTGTCGAATTGTACACATTGAATTGAACATTCACAACTTTGAATTGCACAATGTGGAATTCAGATTACACAATTTAATTTAATATGCATTTTTTCTGTAAACAAGATCTTAAGGCTATTCATGTTAGTCCACACGCAATACACCCTTCCCGTGTGCACTTCTAGTGCGGTAAGGTTTTGAGGTGTTTTCTTATGTTTTCGGGTATGAGAAATCCGAATCCGGTGGTATTTTTTATGTAAGTGCGTGCAATTAATAGTTATAAACAAATTAAGTGGTTTTTTTGATGATTTTTTTTTTATGGGAAACATTGGCAAATAGAAGAAAATGTTCATGACAAAAGTTGTTGCTTTTTGTGTAATAAATAATTATCATTTCTTTAAATCAAAATCCATCAATCCGTTGCTGAAATATGGTCCACCAGGTGGGCGCGGGAGGATGCGCGACGCGCGAAGATGGGTGGGACGCTCGACGTCCTCTGAATGCTCATCAATCCGTCATTTTTCTCAGATAAAACGACCTCTACTCATGTATTGGTACATAGAAAGGAAAACAAAAA